AATTTTAATTATTTTTATTATAAATAATTAAAATTTATTTATTTTTATTTTATTTTTAAAAAATAAGTGTTTTTATTTAAAATATTATAATAAATTTTAAACATTTATTATGAAAAGATAAATAATTAAAATTTTATATAAATTATATGTATAAAATTATATAAATAAATTTTAATTCATATTTACTGTATTTAATTATTTAAGTGGATCCTCTTTAGTAGGATGCCAACAGGGAGCAGAGATTTTTTATGAGGATAAAATTTTTCGTCCTACCTCACTACTTGCAAGGAATGGATTCTTGCAACGATTTTCCATCTCTTCGATTTATATTATAAAATTAATTTAATTATTTATATTTTATTATTTTAAAGTAAAATATTTTAAAAAGTTAGGTTATGATTATATATATAAAAAAATCTAATTATACATAAATTTTATATATTATATTTATATAAAATTTTATCAATTTTTTTATTGATTGAGATTTATTATGATTTTTTATATAAAAAATAATTATTTTTAATAAATTTAAATAAATATCAATAATTAAAAATATATAGATAAATTATTTAAATTTTATATAATTATAATATATAAAACTTATGTATTAGTGAATCCTTACTATATGTATTGACTTAGGTTTGATTTAAAATATTTACACTTTAATATTAAATTAAAATTAAAAATAAATAGGGTATATGATGAATAACCATAATTCTTTTTTTATGGGATGAACAACCATAACTTAAATATTTAAATTGAATTAAATAAAAAAATATTTTTATTTTTTAAATATTTCGCGAGGACAGTGAATCTCGCGGGGACTTACGAGATATGAAGAATTTTCCGCAAAATTTCACAAGAAAAAATGCTTCAACTTCCGTCCCCTCGTTGTCTCCATGGCGGGATCCCGTAGAAATCAAAGAAACTTATCATCCCTGCACTCTAATTATTGGAGAAGGCCTCTTCCACCAGGATGGTTACTGCGACCTCAAAATTCCTATTCAAATATAACAATAATAATATTATAATTATAATATTATATAAAATTATAAATTTAATTATAATATATTATTAAAAAAATATAAAATAATATTAAACGAGTAAATACATATAATATTATATATAAAATTTTAAATAAAAAAATTAATTATATAACGATATATTATGTTGTAAACTTATAATGTCACTTTGTATTGCAATGATACATTATGTTTAAATTTATAATATCACTTTACATTATAACTATAACATTTTAAATACTCAAAATATAAAATTGCAAATGAATTTTAAAAAGATTTCAATCAAATTAAATAAAGGATGTAAAACTAAAATCATGCAAATAAATTTAAGACTTTTAATCAAATTATTAAACATAGAAGGGTGAAATAGCAAATCAATTTCTTAAATGAACAGACTCAAATATTTTTGGTGATTTATATATAACATAAATAAAGAAAAATATTGATCAGTCATACCCCTGAAAACTATGAACAAAAATTCAAAATCATGTCATTTTAATAAATTTATTTTAAAGGTTTAAA